CACCCACAGCTCCGGTCACGCACCACGCCTGTGCTGCACCGCTGATGGCAAATGTGTGATCCAGTCCCATGGCCGAGCCCCCACTGGGTGTTCGCTGGGTGTTCATTGGGTGTTTTCTAGGTGTTCATTGGCTGTTTGTTGGGTGTTTGTTGGGTGTTCATTGGGTGTTTTCTGAGTGTTTGTTGGGTGTTCATTGGGTGTTTTCTAGGTGTTCATTAGGTGTTTGTTGGGTGTCCATTGGGTGTTTTCCAGGTGTTCATTGGCTGTTTGTTGGGTGTTTGTTGGGTGTTCATTGGGTGTTTGCTGAGTGTTTGTTGGGTGTTCATTGGGTGTTTTCTAGGTGTTCATTGGCTGTTTGTTGGGTGTTCATTGGGTGTTTGCTGAGTGTTTGTTGGGTGTTCATTGGGTGTTTTCTGAGTGTTCGGTGTTCACTGGGTGCTTTCTAGGTGTTCATTGGGTGTTTGTTGGGTGTTTGCTGGGTGTTCATTGGGTGTTTGTTGGGTGTTCATTGGGTGTTTTCTAGGTGTTCATTGGTTGTTTGTTGGGTGTTTCCTAGGTGTTTGTTGGGTATTCATTGGGTGTTTTCTAGGTGTTCATTGGGTGTTTGTTGGGTGTTTCCTAGGTGTTTGTTGGGTGTTCATTGGGTATTTTCTAGGTGTTCATTGGGTGTTTGCTGGGTGTTCGTTGGGTGTTTTCTAGGTGTTTGCTGGGTGTTCATTGGGTGTTTTCTAGGTGATCACTGGGTATTCATTTGTTTTCCAGGTGTTTGCTGGGTGTTTTCTAGGTGTTGGGTGTTTTCTAGGTGATCGTTGGGTGTTTTCTAGGTGTTTCTTGGGTGTTTGCTGGTGTTTCCTGTTGGGAAGGCTCAGTACTTGCCAGGGGTTTGCCAGGGGTTTGCTGGTTGTTTGCCCAGTGCACATTGGGTGTTTGTTGTGTGCTCGCTGGGTGTTTGCTTGGTGTTTGCCAGGCGTTTGCTGGGTGTTTGGTTGGTGTTTGACAGGTGTTTGGTTGGTGTTTGCTGGGTGTTCGGTTGGTGTTTGGTTGGTGTCTGGTTGGTGTTTGCTGGGTGTTCGGTTGGTGTTTGGTTGGAGCTTGGTTGGTGTTTGCTGGGTGCTTGCCAGGTGTTTGGTTGGTGTTTGCCGGGTGTTTGGTTGGTGTTTGCCAGGTGTTTGCCAGGTGTTTGCCAGGTGTTTGGTTGGTGTTTGCTGGGTGTTTCGTTGGTGTTTGCCAGGTGTTTGGTTGGTGTTTGCCGGGTGTTTGGTTGGTGTTTGCCAGTTGTTTGGTTGGTGTTTGCCGGGTGTTTGGTTGGTGTTTGCCGGGTGTTTGGTTGGTGTTTGCCAGGTTTTTGCCAGGTGTTTGCCAGGTGTTTGATTGGTGTTTGCCAGGTGTTTGATTGGTGTTTGCTGGGTGTTTCGTTGGTGTTTGCCGGGTGTTTGGTTGGTGTTTGCCAGGTGTTTACCAGGTGTTTGATTGGTGTTTGCTGGGTGTTTCGTTGGTGTTTGCCGGGTGTTTGGTTGGTGTTTGCCAGGTGTTTACCAGGTGTTTGGTTGGTGTTTGCCGGGTGTTTCGTCGGTGTTTGCCAGGTGTTTCTGTACTCACAGGGCACTCACTCCCATGCCAGGAGCTGAAGCCCTGCACGTCCGAGGCCAGGTCACAGTCACTGCCCTGGGGGTGGAAGCACGGCAGGGACGCGCTGGGAGCCTGCACTCACTCCTGTGCCTGCGCATCTCTGTGTGCACAACCACAGCCCCCCATGCCCAGCCCCTGCACACCGCACTGTGAGCACCCTGTGCCTGTGCCAGCACCGCCCCACACCCGCAGGGTGACACCCATCCTGCCCCCAAACCTCACCGAAGGCGCGACGCTGGCGCTGCCGGATTGCTCCATACTGGGAGGACCCGGATGAGCGTGGGCCTGGCCCTGCCGCAGGGAGTAAGGGGGGGGAGCGTTGGTGCTGGGGGGCAGTGAGGAGGAGGAGGAGCAGGATGGGAGCATGGGCTGGGCACTGAGTGGGGCTCTGCCGGTCCCCCCCCCTTTATCACCAGCATCTGCGGGCCCCGGGCGCGGTGATGTCAGCCCGGTGGCATGGCACCATGCGGCACCCCGCGTCCCAGCTTGCCTCCCGCCACGCTGCAGACACCTCCTGTGGGCACCATGCCGTGCCATGCCGTGCTTTGGGAGCAGGCCTGTCCCATGCACAGCTCAACCCCATCCCCACTGCTCCCCCAGCCCCCTGGGTGCTCCCCAAACCCCAAGCCAAGGCCATGGCGTGGGAGCAGAGGTTGGGACCCCCAGGCTGGGCTGAGGGGCTCAGGGTCCCCATGGGACCACTTGCATCACGGTCATTTCATGTGTTCCCCCCCCATGCGCATGCCAGCAGCCAGGCATGAGCGTGCACACACGCGTGTGTGTGTGTGTGTCCCACACGTGCTCAGCCGGGCAGCCATTGCCTTAAAAGGCCTCCATCATCCGCTCCGGCAGCGCCGGCTCCTCTTCCCGTTGCCAAATTTGGCTCTGGTGGCACGGGCCGGGGCTGTCGGGGCCTGGCCCTGCTCTCCCCGAAGTGACGTCAAGCAGGGGTGTCCGTGCGGCACGAGTCACCGCATCACCGCAGCCACCGGAGCCGCTTCCTCTCCCAGCCCCGGCTTCCTCCGGTGCTCAGCTGCCTCTGGGGGCTCAGGGCCCAGTGAGCCCCCCCGGGTGCTCTGCCATGGGATGAGGCATCAGCCCCAGCTGGGCAATCCCAGCCTGTCCATGGGGTGCTGGGTCCACCCATGGGGTTCTGGTTTGGCACCATCCTCCCTGGCTCCATCCTAGCCAAATCCTGGGGGGTGAACGTGGTAAAGAGGATGCACACAGCCACTCCTGCCCCCTCCCCAGGGAACTGCCCCAAAGCTCAGCCCCCTGCACCCAGGACCAGCGGGTGCTGGTGCCCCCCATATTTGGCACAGCCCTGGCACCACGCAGCCACCAACACCCTGAGCCCCACCGAGGTCTGAAGGGGCCGTAGGCTCCCATGGGTGGGATGGTGCTGATGCACATCCCCGGTGTCATCCACACCCCGCCACCTGCCCAAGGGACACCAACCTGCGGGTGGGGAAACTGAGGCACAGCCGTGCCCGGCCCCATGGATCGAACCAGAGTGTCAGGGTGGCAACGGGACCGTGGGCACCCACCCTCAGCTCTGCCCCACGGTGACGCAGGAGGGAGGGCGGCAGAGCCTGCACCCAGCCGGGCTGGTGGAACTGGCCCAGCTCCCCCAGGCAGCAGGATGGGACCGGGTGCACCCGGTCAGGTGAGCACCACACACAGGCTGTGGTCTGGAAACACCGGCCCTGGCACATCCCACAGCGGGTCCCCAGCCCCAAACCCTTCCTAGGGGTGGTGGTGGGGGACCAGGGAGCTCCATCACCCCCCATCATGCTTCCAGGCTGCTCTTGCTCTGGTGTGAGCAGAGCCGTGCACACACACGTGCAACCGTGCAGCGCTGAGCACATCTGCAGGGCTCTGCATGCACATACAGATGTGCACAGCTGAACGTGTGCATGGGCTACCTGGCAGTGGCCAAGGCCAGGTTGGACAGAGCCCTTGGGTGACATGGTGTGAGGTGCCCTTGCCCATGGCAGGGGCTTGGAATTGGATGAGCTTAAGGTCCTTTCCCCCCCAAACCCTCCCGTGGCTCTATGTGTGTGCACATACAACGTGCTGACCATGTCCCTGTGTGCTATGCATGCTGAATACGTGTGTGCACACACATGCCGAACACGCCACGGCGCAGCCTCGGTGCATCCAGAACTGCCCAAATTTATTTCAAAAATAAAAAATAAAATATTAAAGACCGGAAACCTCGCTCTCCCCCTCCCCCACCCCCCAAAAAAACACACACAAAAAAAAGAAAAAAAAAAAAAAAAAAGACTTTTACAGACAAAAAAACACAGCACGGGGGTTCTCTATTTGCACAGATCTCCTGACGAGGGGACAAAAAAAATCAAGGTTGGACAAGAAAAAGGATTTCTACGGCCTATGCAAGACTATGTCAGTATTGGCTCAGTCGGGTAAGTAATGTCTATAAATATCAGCCCCGAGCGCTGGGCTTGCTCAGTCCTTACTTCTCCATCCCTTTGCTTCTCTTTTTTAAGTTAAACCCCCCCAGATCCAAGGAGCGCGGAGGCCGCGGGACGAGCCCAGCGCCTCGGGAGTTGGTCTCGGCCGCGGAGGGAAGCGCCGCTTCTTCCCCCTCCGAAAACAAAGTGAGAACCCAGCCCAAAACAAAGCCCTCCCCCCGCCCCCCCCCTCCTCCCCACCCTTGGATTCCCCCCCCCCCATCCCCCAACCCGGCTCCAAATCCCCCCCCCACAACCCCCTCCCCAAGGCTGCGGCACAGGGCTGGCAGCGCCCAGGCACACGCGTGTGTCCCGTTTCCCCCCCCCCAGCCGCCCGGGGTGGGGGGGGCCCAGCCCCATAGCCGAGCAATGCTACATATAGAAGGGAAGGAAAACAAACGGCCCCCAAACCCGGGGGGGGGGGCTCAGCACCTCCAAGAGAGACTTCATCTCCTCCTGCCTGCATCAGGGGCAGGGGGACACGTTGGGGGGGGGGGGGGGGAGTGGAGCCCACCCCACTGCATCCCTCTTCACAGCAAAGCAGCAGCTTTGATATCCCCCAAGGACCACCACCCCCCCCCCGGGGGCCAGGACCCCCTGCTCCCTGCCGGGGAGGATGCGGGATGAGGCAGCGGCTCCTGCCTGCACCCCGCTCATCTCCCCATCCCCAGCCGAGCGAGGGGGGTGAGGCTGCCCTAGACACCCCCCCCTTGCCCCCAACCAACAATGAAACGCTTCCCTGGCACAGGCAGGCTCAGCCCCGAGGCATCCGGTCGCAGGAGATGGCAAATCTAGAGGAGATCTGGCCCATGCCAACAGAAATGACACCACCGCCGGCCGGGGGGGGGGGGGCAGCGGGAGCATCCTCCTCCCCCCCCCCCCCCCCCAACACCCCATCCCCGGCAGAGTCCGCGGCCCCGGGGCCCCCCCCGGGGTAGGGCTCTATGCTACGACAAACTCTGATTTCATGTCTGCCTTGACCTCGGGCTTCCACACCGAGTCCTCGAAGTCCAGGTCCAGGCTGCCCTCGCTGGAGACGCTGCTGTTGCTGTTGGTGCGGCTGGACTTGCGGTTGGGCAGCCAGTGGTAGGGGGCCCGCGCGTCCCTCCGCGCCTTCCTGCGCAGCCGCTTCTGCTGCATGAGCAGCTGCAGCCGCTCCACCTTGCAGCGCGTCGCCCGGTTCTCCGTCTGCCGCAAGCGGTCCCCTGCAATGCCACAGAGGAGGTTGTTATGGGGGGGGGGGCTGCCCTGCACCCCGAAACCCTATGGATGCACACACACACCCCTCGCCCTAGAGCAGGGTCCTAACCCAAGCCCATAGGATGGGCAGCACCAGGCTGGTCCCCCATGGGGAGAAGCCCCTCTGCGTGGTGCTGTGCCAAGGGAGTGGGGGGGCTTTCCCTGCAGCACAGCAGCCGGTGCAGGCCTGGCCCCGCTCTGCCGTGTGGGAGGACGAGCAATTGAAGCTCCAAGCGTGGGCTCCGGTGCTGGGGAAAAGAGGGAAAAAAAGGGACCCTGCTCCAGAATAAACTTGGCCGGGAGAGCCCCCGAATGCTGCGGATGCTCCAGCATCACCCTCCAGGGCCGTGGGTGGGAACACGCCAAGGGAAGAGCGGGGCACAGGGGGACAACCCCTCTCTAAGGGCAAACAATTCCACCCCAGAGCGGCCAGAGGAGGGTCCTGGTGCAGCAGAGCCACTGGTGGGAGGCTTGCGGGCATCTCTTCCCCATCCTGGAGCCAAGGGGGCCCGAGGGGCTCTGGCCAAGTGGGGTGAGCCCAGCGAGGACTTGTCCCAGTGGGGGGGGAGCAGGTTCCCCCCCACTCACGCCATGGGATACAGCTCCGGCCAGGCCACCAGGAGCTGGTCCAGAGCCACCCCCAGGGGGGAGCCTGGACCCCTCTTGGCCAGGAGAGAAGGGAGAGAAAACGCTGAGGGGAGGACAAACCCCAGCCCCAACACCAGCGATTGCACCCCAGGACCCCTAAACCCATCCTCGGGCAGTGGGCTTGCAAATAGGGGTGGTCCAGGAGCCAGAGCCCGGGTGCCCCCCCCCCAAACCCTCAGACCCTGCAGACCCCCACCCTGGCTGGTGCCTTCAATCAGCAGTGCAAGGAGCAGCCAACAGCCAGGGTCAAACACACAACCCCATTGAGGCTGTTATGGGGTGATGCCACGCAAAGGGGGGGCAGCTCGGGGTGGGGGGGGGCCTGCAGGGGCTCCTGAGCCCATCCCAGCCACCAAGCCCTATGGACAGCAGCCCCATCCCACACAAGGCACGGAGCAGGCGGGCTCACCGCTGGGCTTGCACATCCGGATCTGGCTTTGGCACTGGACGACGGGGTGCAGGGGTGGGGATGCTGCGGCCGCCGGCAGCGGCTCTGAGGTAGTTTTGGTGGCGAGGTCCGGGGAGGCTGGTGGCGAGGAGGAGGACGAGGAGGAGGACGAGGAGGATGAGGAGAACTGCGTCTGGCAGCGGAGCTGCGTCAGGGACTGGGGCATGCCCTGGTAGTGTCGCGTGGCGCTGAGGAGGTCGTTCAGGATCTGCAGGATGGTGCCGATGTCCCTCCGCGGCCGCCCGCTGCTGTCCTGGCAGTTGGGGTGCAAAGTGCCTGCAGGTGGGAAGGGGGGATGAGACGAGCCCCAAGGACCACAGTGCCCCCCCCCTTGCCCAGACCCACAGCCCCATCCCAGATGGGCTCAGCACCACGCACCGGAGAAGGTCCCTGAGAAGACCCCAGGCGCGTGGTTGACGAAGCTCTCGATGACGGCACCGGGTTTGCGGGACCGGGCGGCGGGCGCGGGGCTGCTGCCCGGGGAGCTGCTGCTGCGGGTGCCGCACTCCACCTGCACGCATGGGAGACACCGGGTCAGCCTCTGGGAGCGGGATGGGACGACACAGCCCCACAACACAAGCCCCTTCTGCCCCACACCCCCAACGGGCAGAGTGACCCCATAGCAGGCAAGGAGCAGCAGGTCCAGCAGGCACCACCAGCCCCGGTTTTACTGGAGCACAAGGAACTACAGTTATCCCACCCCTCCATGCATTGTGGAGTCACCCCCATCAGCCAGCTGTGCTGTGCAAGGGGAAAAGGGAAGCAGGAGCAGAGAACGGTGTGTGAAGATGAGCAGAGGAAGAGCCTGGATCCCACCCTGTCCCTGAGCCCTTAACCAGGACATGGGAGCGTTTTGCAGCCCCTGATTCCAAGCATGGGGAAACCGAGGCAGGGAAAGGCATCACCACAGCGGTGCCAGGCTGCCCAGCTTTGCTCCCCTACCCCGAAGGCACCAAGAGCCCTCCGTAAAGAAACCTCACCTCTGAGCAGGAGGAGACCACGCTGCTGTTCACCGTCTGCGTGCTGGCCCCGTGCGACCGGAACATCCCGGCGGTGACGGGGGCGGCGTGGGGGGTGTTACAGTACATGGGGGGGGCCGGCGCGGTGGGCGCGGGGCTGGGGGCCGGGCTCTGCTGGCACGAGGCGGGCACCACGGGGATGCGGGTGAAGCCGGAGCCGGCGCCGCCGTGCAGCGTCCGGCAGTGGGGGCTGGCGGCGGCCCCCGCCTCGCCACGGCTGGCGATGAGGTGCCGGTGCTGGAGCTGCCCGCTGCTCTGCTGAGCCGCCAGCTGGAGCTGCACGAACATCATGTGGTCCCCCACGCGCAGGGCCAGGGTCAGCGGGGACCGGCCCGACAAGAAGTCGTTGACCTGGGGAGAGAAGGACCCCCGTCAGCTCCGGTGTTGCGCAGTGAACCCATGGCACGGCCCCCCCCCGCCCCACATCCCACATCCCACAGGGATGGGTCTTTAGGGCAGCAAAGGGGTGATCCTCTTCCCACAGCCCTTCCCCGAGCCCGGCAAGCCCGGCCGCTGTCCCGGCATGACCCCAGCGCGGTGCCAGCTCCATCAGCTGATGATGCCGGGAAGGGGGGGGATTTTTCCCCTCCTGCCCTTTATCTCCCAGCACAAAGCACCCCGTGCCCCCCCCAGTGAGCCCGCTGCAGGCAGGAGCACTGCCCCAGCCAGCCCAGAGCCCGTGGGGGGCAGCTGCACCCCCGGCACAGCGAACAAGCTCCGTGCAGGAAGGATGGGGGAGGGAGCAGGCGAGGACATGCCGGGTCCGGGCTGTGCCCACTGCCATGCCTTGGGGCTATGAGGCAGGAAAGGCAGGGGAGGGCAGTACACATCCCCCCCTCCACGTTCTCCCCCCGGGGCAGACCCAGTGGAGCGGCTGCAAGGGCAGGATTTGCCCCTGCCCACCCCGGAGGCCTCATCATCCTCATAGGCAGGTGATGGAGCAGCTGCAGCACGGAGACAAAAGCAGGGCCGTGACCCTGCCCAGGTCGCAGCTGCAGAGGGGGGGGCCCCAATCCCCAACACCTGCTCCTTCCCCCCCCCCCCCAGTGGGCATAAATCACTCGACATCTGTGCCAGGGAACAGGGGAGCCCCCCCCCCCCCCCCCCAAGATGCTGCGGTGGGGAGGGGGCTGCACGGCTCACACACAGGCAGGGCTGTGGCCGGACACTGGGTCACCACTAATGGGGATGACGCCACCGCACCCCCCGCCCCATTCCAGGGCGCAGCAGGCACCGGCTTCCCCAGCCCATCGCGGGCACGGCTCCGGCACACGTCACCCGCCCCCAGCCCATCGGCACCCTGGGATGAAGCCCAAGCGGAACCAACAACCCCCTGACCCCCATCGCCTCTTCCCTTCCCCCTTGCAGAGCTCAGCACCCCCCCCCCCCCGGTCCCGGCTCCTCCGCACCCGCTCCGGTGGAGGCCGGTTCTGAGCAGCCGTGGGAAAAGCAGCTTTAAAAATACCCTGAGCAAAGCCCCAAGCGGGGGCCGCGGAGGAAGGGGTTGGGGGTGGGAAGGAGCCGCGGCCGCTCCGGACACGGGGGTTATGGGGCGAGGGAGCCCCAGCGGCAGCAGGGTAGCGGCGCCACAGCCCCCATCCTGCCCCACCGGTCACGCTCTGCCTCGGGTGCTCTGCCCGCAGCCCACGCACTCAGCCGCGACCGCCTCAGCATCACCTCAAGGGCTCTCAGCATCCCCAGGGCACCCGCATGGAGCCCCCCATGGGTGCGGAAGGGGCGCAGGATGGGCACGGCAGCTCCCATCCTTCCCCCTGCAGGGACCCCAAGTGGGGTCTCATAGCCCCACCCCGGGTTCCGTCCCACACGGAGGTGCAGGAGCACCCACACCAGCCTCAGCACCGACCCCAGCACCGGCTGCCCTCGCTCGGTACCGGAGCTGCCTGGGGGAGCCCCGAGCACCTCCCGGGGCCCCCTGACGTCAGCCAGCGCCGGGGCTGCCTCCCTGCTCCATCTGACTCACACCTGCCTGCGCCCTGCTTGACCCCTCGCCAGCATCAGGAAGAACCAGAGCACCCCAAGCCCACACTTCCCAGCAGCACCATAAAGATCCCCAGCAGCAGGGTCACACAGACACACCCCCCCCCCCCCCCCCAAATCCCTCCTCAGCTCCCCATAGGCAGGAGCCGGTTTGGCCCCTGCAGCCCTCCAGGGCTCCCAGCACCCACCCCACACCGCTGCCAACCGCTCCCCCCCAGCGAAACCCGGCCGCTCCAATGCAAACACGTCCCACCCAGCGCCTGCTCGGCCGCCCACAGCCGCCCGGGGAGGACCCGGTCCCTGCCAGCCTGCTCTGCCATGGGGACCGCCCTGCGAGATGCCTTGGGCCCCCCCCCAAAGCTTCCATGGCCGGGGGTCCCCCAGGACCCTGGCAAGCCCTGGAAGCAGGGGCGGGGGGGGGGATGTGGCTGCACCGCACCGGGCTCAGGGCCCACAGGGATGGGGCAAGTGCCTCCCTCCCGGCTGCTTCTGAGAAACGCGGATGACTCAGGGAACGCCGCATTCCTGCCTCGCTCCAACGCCTGGCCCCGCGTCACCCCCAGCCTCAGACACCCCCGGCCCCCCCAAGCCCTGCTGGCACCCCCCAAAAACACAGGCAAACGGTCCTGCTCCAGCTCCTTACAGATGCGGAGGGGGAAGTCAAACCCAGACAGAGCATGAGGGGGGAGCAGGAAATGCCCCCCCCCCCCCGGCATCCTCTTGCACTCTCCAGCTGGACACAGCTGTGGCTGACAACTGGGTCCCAACACCCAGACACCCGTGCTGGGGGGGAGCTACTCCATGCCAAGGAGAGAAGGGGCCGGAGCGGCCCTGCCACATCCCACGGCTGGGCAGGACGTTGTGTCCGTGTGTGTCCCCCCCCAAATCAGGCAGAGGGAGCAGGGGAAGGAAGCGCTGAGGCTGCAGGATCCAGCGCCGGCTCCGGGCACGGCTCCGAGCGTGCCCAGCGGAAGGAAGCGCACGGAGCCCTTCCAGGAAGCCCCCAACCCGCCCGGACCGGACAGGGTGGGAGGGGGGGCACAGCATCCCCATCACCTCCTCCCTGCCCGGCAGCCGCTTCCCCATAAGCACCAGGGTGGGGAGGAGGTGGCAGCGCCCCGGCCCCCCGCCGCCCCCAGAGGAAGCCGGCGCAGCTCCCCCTGCGCTGCCGGAGGATGCAGGAGGATGCAGGAGGATGCATGACGCAGGCAGCGCCGAGCAAAGCATGAATGAGAGGAGTGGTTTCCTGTCCCCCCCCCCGCCCCCCAGGTGCTGGCGGTTCCTCCTGCACAGCCCCAGCTTCCTGAATCACCCGCCCAGGAGGAACCTGCAGTGGGCAGGAGGCACAGAGCCACTTCCCGCAGCAAACCCGGGCTGCCAGGCCCCCAGCCCAGCCCCGAGGGGAAAACCAGGCTGCAGGGCCCCCGGGGGCCCGCAGCCTGCAGCCCACAGACCTCCCCTCTGCTGCGCTTGCCCTAATGGGAGCCTTGCTGGCCATTACGAGCCCCAACAGATGCAAAGGGTTCCCCCAAAGCCCCTCTGCACCGGGCAGCTCCATGAGTGCCCTGGCCCTGCTGCTGCTCCCCAGGACATCCCACCCCAGTGTGGGGGGCTGCAGCTGTTGCAGCCCTGAGGCCAGGATATGCATTGGGACCCCAGGACCCCTTCCATAGCTCTGCACCCCAGTGGGGATGGGCAGCACCCCCTGAGCAAACCGGGCTCCATGGGGAGGGGGAAAGGCAGAGGCCAGAGCTGGCCCAGGACTCCAGGTCCGAGCTCAACCCCTTGGTCCACAATGGGTTAAAGCAGCTGCCAAAGTCAAGGTCACCCCGGGCAGCCAAGGGCACCCGGGGCAACCAAGGGCTTCTAGGAGCAGAGCAGCCCTGGCCCTTGCCATGTGCCCACGGGGGCACAGTCATGCCCCTACCAAGCCCCCCCCCTTGTCTGGCCCTGGGGCAGGCAGGGCTCAGCCCCGGCTCCAAATGCAGCGAAGCAGGTTAAAACAACCCCGTCATTAAGGCAGGGAAGCTGCAGCCTCGGCCAGAAAGGAAGGAACGAGTTCACCAGCAAGCAGAGAGAGATGGAAAACAAAGGAGCCAGGGCCTGCGCGGCTGGGGGTAAATTCCACCTTCGCGGCAGGCAGCTGGCGCCTGCGCACGCACCCAGCCCTGGGAACGCTTCCTCCCCGCAGGGACCCCCCTCCACGACACCTCCCGCAGCCACCAAGGAGCTTCCCAGATCTTCTAAACACGGCCCCCACCCGCGCCCCCTCCTTGGCACCCAGCACAAGGCCACCGAGCATCAGAGCACCCCATCACGGCACGGCCGCCCCCCCACCAACCAAGGACGGCTCCAAGGAGAGGGGGAACAGCCCCCTTTTGGGTGCTGGGAGGAGAATCCAGGCTCTGCAGCCCCACGAAGCCCCCCGGCGCAACCCAGCTGTCCCCCCCCCCCCCCTTCAACGCTGCCATGGGGCAGGCAGCACCCCCGGCTCTGCAATGGGGGGGGGCTGCAGCCCCACAGCCGGGAGCAGGGCCCTGTGCTGCCGACCTGCTCCGTGACCTTGAATGAGTCACTTCACCTCCCAGCGCCGCTGCCCTCCCCAGCTCCCGGCTTGTTTGGGCTGCGAGCGCTGCGGCGTGGGGCCTCCCTGCGCTCAGCGCTGCACAGGATGACGGTGCCCGCCCCGGGCACCACCCTCAGCGCTCCCAACCCCTGCTGAAGGTGAAACCTAAGAGACCAAGCACCGAGCACCAAAGCCTTTCGGGAAGGGAAGGGAAGACGAGCAGGGTCGCAGCATCCCCCACGCACCCGCCTCTGCCCCCCCCCATTGTTCCCCCGGCATCAAGCCTCTCACCTGAGTTTCAGTTAAGCTTTCCAGGGCTTGCATCACCGACTGTTCTGGCCTGGATGCCTGGGACTGGAAAAAGAAAAAGGAGGGAGGGGGGGGGGAAATGAAGATTACAAATGCAGAGAAGGAGGGGGCGTCTGTGCGGCAGGAGGGGAGGGATGACATGTCACTTCCACTATTTCTACACAAGCCCTGAGAAAGCTGTGAAATATTAAACCTGCTGCATGCCCAGCCCAGCGCTGCTGCCTCCTGGGCGAGGGCCGGGGCAGCGGAGCCGCAGGGCTGCCAGCACATCCTCGCCCAGGGCTTTAATAATAGATGGGGACGAGTGGGAGGGAAGGAGAGAGGGAGGGAGCAGCAGGAAAAGGCTGCTTACCATCAAGCCGGCCTCCACGGTGGGCACCAGCGTCAGTTTGCTTCCTTCCACAACCCCAAGATCCTGCAGTTTTCCAGAACTGAGCCGGCTGCAGGAGAGAGGAGGTTGCAAAAGCGGGGTCAGAGCGGCCTCAGCGAGGCCCAGCTACGTGCACCAGCATGGGGGGGGAACAGGAGGGGGGACACAAGCTGCAGGCCCGGCTGCTCCCAGGGGACTGAGCCCCCTTCAGCATCCCCACCCCAAGGCAGGAGGTACCCAGCACTGCCCTGCCTTGTCCCCAGCTGCCCCCTGCACCCCGGGGGGGGGTGGCAGCACAGGTGCTGGGGTACCCCTGCTCCACGCACTATGCAGTGGCAATGGGGCAAGAGAGCTGGTGAGGGACCCGTGGGCTGTGTGGCACAGGAAACCTGGCCACGGGGGGGGTGGAAGCACGGGGTGAGGGTCTCGTGGCCCCCCCCCGGGACCCGCAGACACAGGCGGTGTCCCCGGTCCCCCCTTCCCATCCCGGTCCAGATGAGACTCCGCAAGTTACTCCAGGCCGGGGGGGGCGAGCGCAACATGGGGCCGCCCGCCCCCTACTCAAGCTTTGCTCCCCTCGGGGGGCCACGCAGCCCCCTTGGGCCGGGCCTCCGGCAGACAAAGACAACCCCCCCCCTTCCCCACCCTAGGGCTTGGAGGGGGGGGCGGAGAGAGAACGGACCGGGCGCCGCCACCGAAGTTGAGCCAGAACAAAGGGCCGGGCCCCGCGGGGCACGACCGGGGCCCGCCGCCCACCACGGAGCCCCGGCAAGGGCCGGGCGAGGGGGGCGGCGGCCGCGCTCCCGGTCCCCGGCCCGCCCCCGCCCGCGGGCCCCCGGGCCGCTCCCCCCCCCCCCCCCGACCCGCGGAGGAATGGGGCCAGGCAAGGGAAAGGGGGGGCGGGAGCCTTTGTGCGGTGCCGAGCCCGGTGCGAGGGGCCGCCCCCGCGCCCAGCCCCGCTGCGGGGGGATGGGACCCCCCCCCCCCAAGCCGAGCCGTACCTCTCTTTGTGCAGCAGAGCCAGGCGCTCCTTGGGCACCTTGAGCCGCTGGGACAGGCGCCTCTTCAGCCCCTCCACCGTCTCCTCGGCGGGCACGGAGAGCTCATAGCGGGTCCCGGTGGTGGTGTTGATGTAGAGGTTCATGGGGGGCTCGTTCGGGACCACCTCGCAGGCGGGGGCCCCCGCGCTGCAGCTCCTGGCGCCGGGCTGCGGGTCCATCCGCCGACCTGCGCTGGAGGGGGAAGCGGCGGTCGGTCGGTGCCCGGGGCGGGGGGCGGCGGAACGCGGGGAGGAGGAGGAGGAGGAGGAGGAGGAGGAGGGAGGAGGCGGACAAAGGAGGGAGCGGGACCCGCTCCACCGCACGCCCCCGGCGGTACCCACGGGAACTCCGGCTGCGCTTCGAGTCCTCCGAGATAGAGCGGGAGGAAGAGGGGGGGTGCGGGCAGCGAGCGGAGCCCCCGCGGGCCCCGGAAACAGCGAAAACGGTGAAAAATTATAAAAATCTTTAAGAAAAAAAAATAATAATAATAAAAACCCCACAAAAAAAAAAAAAAAAAACCAAAACCCGGTTCCTCCGCTCCGGCGGGGATGGGGGGAGGGGGGGGTGGGAGGGGGGGGTGGAAGCGGCGCTGCCCTCGCCCGCTGCCTCCTTTCTCTCCGCTCGCCGCTCGCCGTGTGCGGGGTGCAGGGGGCGGGGAGCGGGCCCGAGGCCGCGGCGAGGGGCGGGGAGGACGCGGCGCTCCCCCCGCGCTCAGGGCCGGACCCGCCGAACCGGCCGCCGCCGCCGCCGCCGAGCTTCAGCCGTGGGAGCCGACGGGGGGAGGGGGGGGGGGGGGGGAAGGGGAAAGGGAAAGGGGAGGGGGAGGGGGGGGAGTTACAATGTAGCAACGTCCCGCGGGCGGGGCCTCGCCCTCATTCACTCCGGGCTCCTCCGGCGGCCGCAAGCCAATGGGAGGGAGCCGGCAGCGCAGACATCCGCGGAAAGGAGCCAATGGGAAGAGGGGGAAGGCTCCCCACGTGGCCCGGTGGGAGGGGCGGCCCGGCCGGATTCCTCCCGCCCACGCGGGCGCAAGGCTCCGCCCCCTCCATCCCTGCCCCCCCCCCCCCCCCCCCCCCCCCCGCGCGCCCTCGCGCCGCGCCTGGAGCCATTCATAATCCCGGCGCACAACAAAGGGCCCCGCGGCCGCACCGGTACCGGTAGCACCGGGCTCGGCACCGGAGCTCCCCCCCCTCCTCTCCTCTCCTCTCCCCCCCCCATCTCTTGGCCGCTGGAAGCGGAAGGGCTCGGGCTCAGGGTGCGGGGGTGAACGCGGGACACGGGCAGGAGGGGAGGGGGCCGCTCTCCGCCTCCGCACCGGGAGGCGAAAACCCGCGGGGCCGGGAGGGACCCGGACCGGACCCCCCCCTCCCCCGGGAGCCGAGTGACGCGGGGACACCGAGGCGGAAAGGGCGGGGGACGGGGACACGCACAGTCACCCGCGCCCGGTCACACCCGCCGGTCACCTCCCGGTGACGCCGTTACGGCCGCAGCGAACCGCCCCGACGCGGGGCTCAGCTCCAAGCCGTCCGTACCCCGTGTCCCCCCCCCTAATTCCGCAGCACGGAACCAGCGGCCCCGGTTTGGGGCTGGACCCGGCACCCGCAGCCCCCGGGGTCGGCGCCTCGCCTGGGGGGGGGGTTCGGGGGGGGGCTATGAGTCAGCAAAGCGCGGGCCGCCCTCTGCCGGCTCCGCCGCGCCTCCTGCGCCCGGGGGGGGCCGCGGAGCCGTGGACCGAGGCTCCGGGGGGACCCGGGCACGGTGCCGCCGGGGCCGCTGCTCACCCACGGGTACGGAGCGAACCCACCCGGGCGGGCACCCCGGGGGTGAGGGGCCGCGTCGGGGGCTCAGTGTTGGGGGGGGGGGGCCCGGTGCCGCGCTCAAGGGTCCCAGCGGCCGGAGCGAGGGTCCCCGGCCCCGCTGCCCGTGCCATGGGGATTGGAAAGCTTCGAGGGATCGGGGATACCGAGGGTCCCGGCGGGTGGGAAGCGCGCCCGGCACCCGAGCGAGCGGGATCCGCCGTGTGTCCCCACGGGAGCCTCCAGGCTCGGGGAAGCGGGGCCACCCCGCGTGCCCTGGGGAGAGTGAGTGAGCGCAGCCCGCTCTGCGGAACCCCACAGGCCACGGACCCCCCCCCCCTCCACATAATCCCCCCCCCCCCCAGCCGGTTCCGGGACCCCTCGAGGGCCCATCCCGCCCGCCGCCAGCCCCACTCACCGAGCCGGAGCGCTGCCCCGCCGTTCCCCGGAGCGCAGCTGCCTCCGGCGGCAGGAGGGAGAAGTAGACCCCGAATACTCCCCGGGGGTCGCGGCGCGGAGCTGTGTCCCCTGCCGAGCGCTGCCGCCGGCCCGAGCGCTGCCCTGACTCGGAGCCGCCGGGGAGGTGCCCCAAGTTTTATCCCGCACCGCCCGGGGTGGAGCCTGCTGGGGGCAGGGACCGGCCCTGGCCCCGGCTCCGGCCCTGGCCCCGGCTCCGGCGGGACCCGCAGGTGACGCGGCTGCAACCGCTCCCGGCGGGGAGCCCCGGTCCCTGCCCTCAGGGTCCCAACCCCTGCTCCCTGTGCCGGGTCCTGCTCCAGGGGTCCCGGCTCGATGCGCCCTGAGCCGGTTTCAGCCCTCCGGGGTGGGGGCTGAGCCTCTCCTGGGGCCCCGGCTCTACCCCTCCGGGGGTCCCCATCACTCGGGTCAAAGTCAGCCCATGCACAGGGTTGGGTCTCCTGGGGAGCTGAGCTTCAAAGCAGCTCCCGGTGGAGACTCTCTGATGTCTAATAGCGAGGTTGGGCCATCCCTTCCCTAGGGATTCCCTCTGCCCAACCACCTACTTCACAGCCAGGGCAAGGGCTCAGCACCACAGGACTTTTTGGAGCAGAGGCAGATCACATAGAAGGTGATGATGTCCCCGTGCCCTGGAGTGGAAGCCACGGGCTGGTTAACCCCCCCCACCCCGGGACAGGGTCTGAGGGGCCAGGGATGTCCCAGGCTGCACAGGGAGGATGCTGGTGCTGGAGAGATGCTGGTGACCTCCGGCTGACTCTGCTGCCTCTCCTTCGCAGACAATGCCCTGGCACACCGAGACACAAAGCAGCTGGAGGGGGGATCTGGCAGCCGGTCTGCTGCGAGGAGGGGGCTGCACAGCCCCGACCCACGAGGCAGCAGCGAGGGGGGCCTGGAGGGACCCGGGGGGGGTGTGGTGTCTCTCTGCAGCCCCAAAATGCAGCCGCTGTTTTCCTCCCCCATGGCCTCCCCTGGGGTCGAAGGTAGAACCGTGCCGGGGGGTGGGAGGGGGGAGTGGGGAGTGAGACCCCTCCATGTGCCAGGAGCCGAGCAGGGATGGGAGGGAGCTTTTGTGGTGCTATCCGCGGCCCCCCGGCCCCCTCCGGGCTCTCAAGGGGGAGATGAGCTCAGGCAGCTCCAGCTCCTGCCATTGTTGTCCCTGGGAGAGGGGCCGGGGCAGGGATGCACCATTGTTCTCCCCGGGAGCTGCGAGCCCTGGGCCTGTGAAGCCACTGCTCCAGGGGCCATGTCCCAGCTTGTGTGTCCCGGGAGGAGCAGGGGAGCAGCCGGGCCCTGGCCAGGGTTCAGTTCTGCACCAGCAGTGACAAGGTGTCAGTCACCCCAGAGCCACCTCCCCAGGGAGCAGGGCCTGGCCGGTAGCACCCTGCTTGCAGCCCTGCAGCCTGGCTCGTGCGGGGAGGGACAAGGGGGTGTCAGGGCCATGGGGAAGCTGCTCTGGCTCTGGCCATGCCCCAAGAGCATCTCCCCACATCCTCGCAGCCCTGAGGAGCCCCGTTCCTGGTCACCACCCTCCCGCATGGCTCCATCTCCTTCCTGTGAGGAAGCTCATCTCCTCCGGCAATCCCATGACTCGGGGAGCTGGTGCTTTAGGAAGCATGTGCAGATTTCAGTGCTGTTGCAAGTATCCTGAGCCTCCAGAGACACAAGCTGGGGGATCCCAGGATTCCCAGCAGCCCGGATTTTGTGTGTTTAGTTCATTGTGTTGCCCTGGGAATACATCGTTAAAGATTACAGACAGACTTGGGCATAATTGCTGTGCAGCATCCGAGGCTCTGCCGTCTCCAGAGGGAGCTTTCTCCAAACCCCGCACGGCTCAGCAGCTTGGGGAGAGCTGATCCCAACAAGCAAATACCCCCCCCCATCCCAAATCCAGCCGCAGGCCACAGGAGCTCCCTGCAGATCAGCCCCACAGTGGCTCACATGCACCAGCTGGGCAGCATGGGCACAGGATGGGGCTCACCGAGGGTCCCACAGGGACGCTCCCCATGGGGCCTGCCCGGTGGGCACGTCCCGGTGCAAGGGCAGGCTCGGGACAGGACCTTGGGGTCAGCTCCATCACCTCGCTCGGTGCTGCCCCATCCTGTCAGCCCCAGCTTGAGCTGGGAGCCCTTGCATCTTTTGGGGGCCGGTTCTTGGAAGTGCTGTCCCTCGAAGGAAGGGAATTCCCAGCCCTCCTTCCGTGGGGAAATCCCCCAGCAGCCCCAGGCAGCAGCTTTGCTCTTTTTTTCTCTCCTTTTCTCTTTTCCCCTTTCCCTTTTGGACTCAATTCCTGGCTGGGTTCGCAGCTCTGGCAAACGGGGATTTTATCACAAGTCCCTGCATTCCCCTCACAGGCGCGGGGTCATGGGATTAAGGGCAGAGCTGACGCCAGAGAGGAGGGACCGGGGCGGTTTCTCGCAAGAGATGCGGAGCTGCAGCCTTGGGGGGCCCGGCTGGGATGGGGACCCTTTCCCTCCAGGCTCTCCCCAGGTCCCCATCCCGTTCCTGCAGGGCGCAGGGCACGGTGCGGGCGCTGCCAGCAACGAATGGGAGCGTTCCCATGGGCGCGGGGCCAGCGCTTGCACGGGGCACACCCGGCAGGAGGGTGCAGCCGAGCGGCTTCGCCCTCCTCCTGCTGCTGCCCGTGAGGCTCCGCTGCGGGGGACACACGCACAGGGATGGGGGTCCCGGCCCCCTGCTCCCTGTACCCTGAGCCCTATGGGCTGAGCGGCTCGGCCTTAGTCACGGTGGCGAGCGGTGACTCACATGGGCCCGGTGCGCTCAGGTGAGCCATCGCTGCGGTGACTAAGAACCGGTGCTCCCCACCCTCCTGCTATGAACCCCCCGCAGCCGGAGCCCCCCATCCCACCAGGCTCAGCACTGCCCTATGGCGGGTGCTGGGTGTCCTTGGGCAGGATGGCAGTGCCGGTGCTGGTGCCGCTGGTGGGGCTGTGAACACCCAGGCGTGTCCTTAGAAACACACAACCGGCTCCGTGTGTTTCCCGGCTCTCCGGGATGTGTCCTGGTGGCCCTTGGCACCGTGTCCAGGCATCGCAGCCTGGGGACACTCCTGCTGTAGGCCCAATGGAGCTGGAGCCAGTGACACGGCC